TGTACCAGCTCTTAACCGCACCCACCTACTCTTATGCGTCCCTCTCTCCCCCCACCACTGTACTTGCCCTGTTGAACGCTGCTGCAGATTCTTTGTCGGTGACGTTCCACTGGCAAGTAGATGGCTTCTCCAAGCTGACAGAGCGGAGAGTCTTCTCCAACGCCTTCCTGGTTGGGGGGTACAACTGGTGTGTGCTCGTGTTGGTCGCTGTTCAGGTTCTTAGAACTGAGTGTGTATGTGAACGTTGGTTGCTGACAGATTGTACGGATACAGAAGGTTACCTGCACCACGTACCCTTCTTCTCCGGTCAGGATCAATCGTCCCAATATCATTGTGCGCAAAGTTCCGTTTCCACCTGCCCCGGTCTCGATTTCATCTCCCCCTTCCTTCCTCACTCCATTCAGCTATCACCTTGGACTCTTCCAGCTTATATTCCGGCTTCCTGCCTCTTTCGTTTCTAAAGCGGTTGCTGCTTGCTAAGACTTTGATGCGGTCATTTGTTTGTTCACAGAACAACCGAAACCATTGTGATGTTCCTGCCCTTACTCTCTTCCTCATCAATCAATCAGGGGCATCAGCTTCTTCTCCCCTCCCTGTGCTTATCACCCTGTACATGATCTTCCATTCTTTCCCCTCTCCTTCCCCAAACCTCGAAGGATTCTCTCTTTATGTTTCTCAACTACCACCCTCTTTCCTTCCATTGTCTAGGAAGCTGGTGGTGCACCCGGACGGGTACAAGAAGCCAGAGGACTTGTCCTTGTTCCTTATGATGGAAAATTCTGCAACTTTGCCGCCTGGGTGCACCAAGCATATGGACTATGTGTTGACTGTGGTCAACCAGTTTGATCGGGCGAAATCAGTGCGGAGAGGTATGGGTGGGCACTGAGCAGTGAGCGAGGCATGCAAAAGGTAGAGGTGTTTGAGGCGAGCACTGAGCAAAGCCGAACTTGGACAGCCGTGTCAAACCCTTTCCCCTCCCTTATTCGAACCGAACCTGTTCAATTTAAGTGGAACCGAAGTTGGTGGGATTGAGGTTGGAAGTTTAAGCATGGGACTCAAACATTCACCTGTTCGACTCGAACCTGTTTGAGTTTGGTCCGACCTGCATTTCTGTTATAGTCACAGTTGATAAGATTGTTAGTTTGTTAGTTATTGGTAGAAGATTGATTTGGTAGGGTGGGGGGGTGTTGGTTCGACTCGGATTGACCCAATAAGTCGAAGAAAACCGAAATGAACCAGACCGGTGTGTTCGAATCCAACAATTCGAGAATTGGTTCGAGCTTGCTTTTGTAAAGCAGTTCGGTACTTAGCTCATGCCCTTCATCGTCGACCTCAATACAAGCTCAACATAGCTGATTTGCTTCTTATGTACGAGTGAAGAACTGATTGGATTGGCATACGGGTGTGAACCTGGGGGGAGTATGATGAGTCTTTGCGATGATGTATGATGTGAATACGTTTATCTGGGTGATTATGGGGCCGCCTGGAATGGAAATTATTATCGCGTGGATTACGCCCGGACAATCTTTCACGAACCTCCTCCGTCTGCCTTTCCGTTTTCTCAATTTGCGTGATTCTCAGAAGCGAGCAACCGGTTGTTCAGTCCACACGCGTCTGACTGGGGCTGGCCTTCCATGATTCCACTCAAGGACCTTTATGACCTCTCCAAAGGCTTCCTCGTTAACGACACAATGGTTCTTGAGGCCGAGGTGAAAGTGTGCGATAGAGTCGCACCGGATACGTGGGGCTGGACAACCAGGGGGGGCTATGCTGCATGGGCCCGTTAGTACAGATGCTGTACCACATTCCCTTCTTTCGGAAAGCTGTGTATCGGTTTGCTGCGTCTGAGAATGACCTTCATGCTGGCAGCATCCTTTTAGCGATCCAAGGCATCTTCTATAAGCTCCAGTTCACCGATACTAGCGTTTCCACCAAGAACCTAATTAAGAGGTTTGGGTGGGAGGATGGAGATTCGCAAATGAAGCATGATGCGTGTGAGGTGTACCGGGTGCTGTGTATGAAGCTAGAGGGCGAGATGAAGGGCACATCTGTGGAGGGCACTATGGAGAAGCTGTTTGGAGGGCATGTCATGAACTACATCGAATGTGTGAATGTCGACCACAAGTCCGCCTGGAAAGAACCAATTGCTGGTGAGTGGTTATGTGATGAGTGCATGAGAATTATCTCTTGTACTTGGGCAAACTAATAAGGCTGAATTCTCGCCGTGTTGATTCTGTGCTGTGCTGTGCAGGCCAACCGCTGGATGTGAAGGGGTGCAAGGACGTGTATGCGAGCTTGGACAAACATGTGGAGGTGAAGAAGCTTGATGGCAACACCAAGTTCTTTGCGGAGCAGCATGGGGTACAGGTGGGTGTTGGTTGATTACCGCAGGTATGAAACTACCTTTGGTAGTGATGAGTCATCGAGAGTATGCATTTCCTGACTGCTATGACCAATGAAGATACCGTGAGAGGGCGGTGGTTCTGCTGTTTCTGCTTGCTGCCGTGCAAGATTGGGAACTGGTGGGCTGGGCTGAAATGTTCCGAATCCCGTCTAATGTGTATGTGTTTTCTGGCTGATAAGCTGATGATGTAGTGAAAAGCCTATTGAGCTTTCATGGGGCATGTGTGGGCTCAGCTCAGCTCATTTGTTTCATGTGTTCTCCACATCTCTGAATCTCATCCATTTTCACAAACTCCACATGTCAGACTGATTTCTTCTCCTTCACAAACCGCAAGAGATAAAGCATTGTTATTTTGCTTTCCCTGCTCCACCCACGGTTTTTGTTCCTTCTACTCCGTTATGTTGCTTTTTTTCTGTCCACACATGATCTCTGCTGTTGACTTATCTGCCTTTCGCCCTGGTTGGCCGTCGTGTTCCACACCTACAATGGCAGGACGCCAAGAAAGGTGTGCTTTTTGAGGTTCTCCCACCCACCAGTGCTGCAGCTGCATTTGAAGCGTTTTGATTACAATCCGGTGGACAAGAAAACTGTGAAGGTACTAAGTTATGATCGGAGGAAGCCAAAGAAGAACTAAATTATGATACATCGTGCGAAGGTACTACACTGTGTCACATCACATGACAAACTACTATTCTTTGGAAGCCAGATGGTTTTTTTCACTAACTAAATTCCTGTTTAATCATCAGGCATTTGCATTTGCATCCCTTCTTTTAGGTTATTCGCTTCGCTGCCCAGCCAGCTCTATACCTTTCTCTCTTTGTGCAACCTCCCCTCTCATGTCCCCTGGAGTTCATCCCTTATGTGAAGCTGTATTGAAGTGAATGAACTCCCTGCCTTATTCGTTTCCTTTTCTCTGTTCCATTCCTCTCACTCCCACCTGCACCCCCACCCACATGACCACATGTACCTGTACCTCTTAGGTCATTGACCGGTTTGAGTTTCCTCTGGAGCTCGACTTGGAAAAGGACGGCGGCAAGTACCTCACTACGGACTTGGACAGGACCGGCCACAACCTCTACCTGTTGCACAGGTGCAATAACTCTCAGCTAGAGCAGGGTGGTAGGACTTCTGTTTTTTATTAGGTTTGCACGAGGCATTAGGCATGAGCCTTGCCTTGAGCTGACGGCTTGGCTCGTCAAGAGGCCCAGTGGAGCTAACTGCTCAGCTCTCTCTGCTAACAGTCTGAGCCGAGTTGGCGCGTCGAGCCATAGGCCGGCTGTCAGCTCGTCGATATCTCCCAAAACCTGAGATTGTTTCTTCTGTGTTTTTTTGTTTTGTTTGTGTGTTTTTTTTTTTTGTGCTTTCTCTCTCTCTCTCTCTCTCTCTCTCTCTCTCTCTCTCTCTCTCTCTCTCTCTCTCTCTGTGTGTGTGTGTATGTGTGTGTGTGTGTGTGTAGATATGAGCAACGAACCGAACTTCGGTTCGGTTCGAGAAGTTCGGTTCGAGTTATCTCGAACCGAACTTTTTTTTCCGCCAAAAAGGTTTGAGCAAACCTTGCTGAAGTTCGCGCGAACAGTTTGCGCGAACTTTTTCGGTTTAGTTTCAAACCTCGAACCGAACAGGTTCGAAGTTCGAAAGGGTGAAATTCGAACCGCGAGGGGTTCAAATTTAATTCCCGCCGGAAAAAACTCATCGCGACTTTCTCGTAAAAAACGGGATTGTTGTCGTAGGTTGGCTGCCATTTGAAGGCAGCCAACCCTAGACTCGTAGCAGAGCAGAGTAGATCTAGATCTACATCACAAAAATGCGTGTGTCTGAAAATCATCTGACATTCGCGGCGGCCTATCGTACGTTTGACAATCGTTTGAAAAACGTACAGGGAAACTCTAAAAAACGTTTGCCTTCGGCGGAATGTTTTCCAGGCACATTCTGAATGTTTGCTCCTAACTCTTTCTTGCTTGTGCGCAGGATTAGGGTTCCGGGCCTAACAGATAGTCGAGCATGTCTCTTCGCATGGGAGCAGATAGCGAGAAATTTGATTCTCTCCAAGAATTCCTCGTTTAGGCTTTTGTGTACCATTTGTTACATTCATGACATTTGCACTTATGTTTCTTTGAATATGATGATGTAATTTTCTCTATGAAAATAGTGTTTCCAAGAGTCATGTTTAACCATTTGAAGGAAATTTTACACCTATTAGATTCTAACAAGGCCAAAAAAGAACATAGTCAGGGAACAATTTCATGTTTACAAAAGTCACAATGCGTCAAAGTTCTCTACGTTCGCTAGACCTCACCAAACGAATCTATTAAGAAGGCTCACTTCATCGTCCTCACATGAGGGAACAATGTGTACAAGACTGAGAATGCAGTCGACATCAATCACTGCAAAATCATCCTCGCCCTCTGTGGGTAGAAGGCGCTTGCATCCCGTTGACGGGCATAGTCGCTTGTCCTCGGTGTAATACTCCACGTATGCTCCGCGCCTCAGCTCCCCATCTTTGTTGTAGTGAAACAGGACAAGACAACGGCCGTACCAGGGGGACCCCTTCCCTGCAGGGTTGATTGCAACGGATGAGAAGTTCTTCTCGCCCGGGCTAGCCTTGAAAAACTGCCCCCTTGACGTCCATTCCATCTTGTCGTGGGGCGGAATCGCAAGTGCCGTGTGCACCTGAAACCACGAGCATGAACCAAGAAAATGTGAAAGCAGCGAAAGAGGCGGTGGAGAGCATAGCGAAAGGGGGAAATTGGCCAAGGGCTGGAGTGGGTGGAAAAGCATTTTGGAGAGGGGGAAGGGGGGCTGGAGTGGGTGGAAAGCATGCAGGAGAGGGGGAAGGGGGGCTGGAGTGGGTGGAAAGCATGCAGGAGAGGGGGAAGCGGGGCTGGAGTGGGTGGAAAGCATGCAGGAGAGGGGGAAGGGGGGCTGGAGTGAGTGGAAAGCATGCAGGAGAGGGGGAAGGGGGGCTGGAGTGGGTGGAAAGCATGCCGGAGAGGGGGGAGGGGGGCTGGAGTGGGTGGAAAATCATTTTGGAGAGGGGGAAGGGGGGCTGGAGTGGGTGGAAAGCATGCAGGAGAGGGGGAAGGGGGGCTGGAGTGGGTGGAAAGCATGCAGGAGAGGGGGAAGGGGGGCTGGAGTGGGTGGAAAGCATGCAGGAGAGGGGGAAGGGGGGCTGGAGTGGGTGGAAAGCATGCAGGAGAGGGGGAAGGGGGGCTGGAGTGGGTGGAAAGCATGCAGGAGAGGGGGAAGGGGGGCTGGAGTGGGTGGAAAGCATGCAGGAGAGGGGGAAGCGGGGCTGGAGTGGGTGGAAAGCATGCAGGAGAGGGGGAAGGGGGGCTAGAGTGGGTGGATTCGGCGGCAGTGAGAAAAAATGGCATATCCATACGACCGGGAATGCACCTGCAAAACTTGCGTGTTGATGCCTGCCCGTCTGAGTCGCAGAACCATCGCACTCATGGCGGGTTCACCAACAGTCAAGACGTAGCTCCAAAACACTGAGTCGGTGATGTCCCCCAGGACCATCTTCTTGTGGGTCTTAGTAAGCACCCTCCGGCCAGCCAGGCATGCCTGTCACCGTGGAGAGGAGAGGGTTGGTATAGGGAGGGGGGGGGTTGTATGGTGAGTCCTTTTGGAGGGAGGAGGAGGGGGGGGGATAGGGGATGGATGCGAGGTGTAGGCGAAGGAGAGGGCCAGGGAAAGGGGGAATGGGTGTGGGGGAAAGGGGGAGAGGTTGTGGGGACGAAGAAGGGGATGGGGGGGTAGGAATCGATTACTTTGGTTAGGTTAGTCCTAAATGTGATTGCCAACTCATGCAGAGAGCATGGAAACAGAAATGCGGGCAAAGAGACGAGCGAACAGAACGTGGCACAGAGCAGGGCAGACACAGAAGTGTACAAATCAGGGAAACAGTGAAGGGAACAGAGCGGGGCACAGAGCAGGGCAGACACAGAAGTGAACAAATCAGGGAAACAGTGAAGGGAACAGAGCAGGGCACAGAGCAGGGCAGACACAGAACGGAACATGGCAGGGTAACAGTGCAGGGAACAGAGCAGGGAAACAGAACAGGGCACCGAGTAGGGGAGACACAGCATGGAACATAGCAGGGTAACAGAGCGGATAACAAAGAAGGGGAAATGACGAGGGGAACAGAGCAGTGTGAGAGAGCAAGAGAGCCGAGCAGGGAAAAAGAGCATGGGGGGAGAGCATGAGACCCGAGCAGCGAAATAGAGCAGGAAAGAGCATGAGAACTGAGCAGGGAAACAGGGCAGGGGAGAGAGCATGAGAACCGAGCAGGGAAACAGGGCAGGGTAGAGAGCATGAGAACCGAGCTCGGGCAAACTGAACATGGCACAGAGCAGGGCAGACACAGAAGGGAGCATAGCAGGGAAACTGTGAAGGGAATACAGCAGGGCACAAAGCAGGGCAGACACAGAACGGAACATGGCAGAGAATAACAGTGCAGGGAACAGAGCAGGGAAGACACAGTAGGGAACACAGCTGGGAAACAGAGCAAATAACAAAGAAGGGGAAATGACTAGAGGAACAGAGCAGGGGGAGAGAGAAGGAGAACCGAGCAGGGAAACAGAGCAGGGGGAGAGAACAAGAGTACCGAGCCGGGAAACAGAGCAGGGGGAGAGAGCAAGAGAACCGAGCAGGGAAACAGAGCAGCGGAACAGAGGAGGGGAACCGAGCAAGAGAACAGAGCAGGGCATCACTTCAGGAGATCACAGCATGGGATTAAAATAGGGAAACTTAGCAGACGACGGGGTGCAGGGGAACAGAGCAGGTTCGTAAAACTCACCTCTTTCATCGAGGTCTCGTACGTGCTGTCCCCGCCGGCCTCCCGCGCGAGTTGCCTAACTACCGCATGCTCCAGGTGTTTCCGGACGATTCGATCTTCAACATTCTTCCAGTTCGTGCCACGTGAAGGACGCTTCACAGTGGTCTTGTGGGAGTGCTCGTAGCAGTTCGACGAGTACTCGGCAGGGATCCCCCTCATACGGATGGTTGATGGGAGGTGAACGAGTAGATGAATCTTAACAATTTTCCACTTTGACTTCTGCTTAGGGAAAGCGACACGAAGAGCCTTCACCATCCTGGAGAAAATTTAGATACAACGCATGCAGTTAAGAGGGGGAATGCAGGCCGGGAAGGGAGAAACGGGATGCGGGAGGGGGAGTGAGGAAGCAGACAGCGAAAAGAGAAACACGGAAGGAGGGAGCAGGGAGGTGGGTTATGGAGGGACAGCGATGCAGTGCAGAGGGAGAAGATGGGTCATGCAAAACCACGATGGAAGGAGGGCAGCCAAAGGTCATGGAGTACGATGGAGCCTGGGGAGGGAAATCATCGCACGAAAGGGAGAAACAGGCGAGTACGAAGGTGAAGCTGGTAGGGAACTGAGTAACAAGCTTGGTATTGTACAAACGGGAAACATAGAAGCCTATGAAGTCAAGCCTATGAAGGAGGGTGGGAGGAGCATGTAGGGTACAGGCGAGACAATGAAAATGTGCGAACGTGGCAATGAAGGGCCTGGGAAACCACATAACAGACAGAGTAATTACTTGATGGTGGCATCTTTCATCCGTTCCAGAGAGTTGTCGGTGTGGTACTCAGCGCGGATGAACTCCTTGTACCACTCGACCATCTTGACAATGGCCGTGCGGATATCTTCTCGTCCTGGGAGGTTGAAGCAGGGCGCAGAAAGCAAGCACGGAGGGGAGTAGCATGAAGCAGGGCGCGAAAATCAAGCACGGAGGGGAGTAGCATGAAGCAGGGCGCGGAAAGCAAGCACGGAGGGGAGTAGCATGAAGCAGGGCGCGGAAAGCAAGCACGGAGGGGAGTAGCATGAAGCAGGGCGCGGAAAGCAAGCACGGAGGGGAGTAGCATGAAGCAGGGCGCGGAAAGCAAGCACGGAGGGGAGTAGCATGAAGCAGGGCGCGGAAAGCAAGCACGGAGGGGAGTAGCATGAAGCATGGCGCGGAAAGCAAGCACGGAGGGGAATAGCATGAAGCAGGGCGCGGAAAGCAAGCACGGAGGGGAGTAGCATGAAGCAGGGCGCGGAAAGCAAGCACGGAGGGGAGTAGCATGAAGCAGGGCGCGGAACAACTCACTCCAGAAGAATCTTCCGTTCCTTCGGGGTCAGCTTCTTCACCAGGCATTTCATGGCATGCAGCCATATGCCCTGCTCCCAGATGTGCATGATGTCCGGGGGCACAGCAAGGTACGTGTTGCCCCAGAGAGTTTTTGCGAATTCCCAGTCCCACAAAAGGCTCTACGTCGGGGGTCAAGGACACAGACTCACTATGGCGGGTCAGGATAATAAATACGAACAGCAAGATGCAGATCGGAGTAGGTTTTCGGGCATACTAGCCACAGCAGTATATGGTGGATACGGAGGGAAACCATATGAGCAACACAAGGATGCACGCGGAACAAGCTGGGCAAAGCGCACCTTCACAAAGTGTGTAGAGGACTTCTTCTTCACCGCCTTCAGCTCCTTTTTGGTTTTCGCGGCTTTCATCTCCTTGTGAAAATCCTTCTGACCCTTGACAGTTCTAAGGACAATGGTGTCTTCCTGCTTCTTTTTGGTTTCCGCAGATTTCTTCTGACCCTCGACATTTCTGGGGACAATGGTCTCGTCCTGCTCATCCAGGCGCTTCTTATCAGTTGGCTGTTGAGTCAACTCAAAGTTCATCTCATCCAGGCGCTCCTTTTCAGCCAAGCACAACGAGCACGGATGGTGTGAGTTGCATGCCATCGTACAGGTGATCTTAGAAGACTCCGGGTGATCGGCCACCCATGAATAAAGGAGCGTGAATGCTCTATACTGCACGCTGGCACTGTCTTCCACCATCACACCGCCCCTGCACAGCCGCCAGGATGAGGGGTAAAGCAGGGGGGGGTATGGCAAGGATGGGAGACCATGTTAGATATGTCAGTGATGGTGTGAGCATGGGTTGCTGTAAGCAAGCAGATGAAGGACGGTTAGGAGGAGGGGGACAGCAAGCAGGGATGGTTTCAACGGCAGGAGACGGTGGTACGGGAGGAACCGGAATGGTATTAGGTGAAGCATGGTGGCTGAGGACCGGAGTACTTTCGACTGAATCCGGCGTCGTGGCACGCATGCGAAAGAAGAACAGGGGAGAAGGGGGGTCAAAAAGGGAGGGGAGTGTGTATTAGACAGGCAATGAAAATAAGTAGGGTAGGGTGGTGGATTCTGGAGAGTACAAGGGATGCGCGCCTTTGGGCGAGAGTAGCAGTGTCTCGCCCTGAAAGATGTGAAGCCGCCTTTAAATCTCGAATCATGATCTCTGCAGCGTCCTGGAACACTCGAACCTTCTCTTCTGGTGAGAGGTCAGCTGGGATGTTAGGCAGGAGCCCGAGAAGCTCAGTGCCTCCTTCAAGCCACCTAGCCCATTCAGGAATGTTCCCAAAGGACAACAGAAATGGGTGGGCAGATTGGCGCCCGTTGTACGATAGATTGGTCTGGTCCGAGAACAGAATGAGAGCTATAACTATGCCAAACTTCCGCACCCTTTCCTGCCACAGTGATGATAATGGGAAGGAAAGACGTATTGGATCCTAGGTTTCAATGCTCGTGTCCAACGCGACATGAGTTGGCATGGAACTTACCCAAGCCTCGAGCATCCAATCCGTGTTTGCAGGGGTACTGTAGCGGCGAACCCCATCAACCTTCCACTCTTGAGGCATGATGCTGAATTCCTTGACAGCCGACATCTTCTTGAACATGGACTGAAGGAGCTGATGGTGATAAATATGGAAACAATGATGGAAAACAGAAGCGTAGGATGGATGGTTTACTTTGGACCCATGGTTTAGTCGTCATCACTAAACACATTCCACTCTGACGAACGTGACACCGCACCAGGGATACACTCACAGTTATCGCGTTTCGGCGCTTGAAGGTGAGAAACCCAATTTCGTGATCCACTTCGATCTCCTCGACGATCCATTCGTTCTCCGCTCCAAGGTCAAAGCTGTTCTCGTACTTCTCCAGGTCCCTGTAGCTGTTCCAATCGTCTAGCTGCTTTGGATCTAATTTCGGATGTCTAACTAACTGTATCGTGTCGTTTATCGCCCCGTTGGTAAGGCCGTGAGATCGTGCCAAAATGCATATTTCCGCCTTAACATCGAGAATCTCCTCTATATGAGCTTCTTCCCCCACGAGTGTGGTGCTACACGTAGGGACTGCATCTGGAACACGCTCAGCTGGCTGCTGGTGCTGCTCTACTCCGTTCGGAACTGCTGCTAAGGGAATCGAATGCTTTGGCGCTGGAAGGGTTGCTGTTGCGAACGGGACAAAGGTATACTGCTTCTCAACGTCAAGACCCAGCTTCTTTCGTTTAGCAGCCTCTTGAGCCTTGCGTCTTTGGGCCCGCTTACAGCCTCCATGGTTAGCTTGATGGCTACGTACTGTTTGATAGCAGTACACGCGCTTATTGCAGAACTCGCAACCCTGACCCTCCATTGAGCATATCTGTCCCCAGGACTGAATGGTGTTTGGCGGACCAGTTTGAGATGTGAATGGTAACACTGCTGTCCGTGGGGGTGAGATAGCGTCATTCAAATGGTCGATAGTTTACCAAAAGGCGTGGGAAGGATTTGGCACGAAAAAAGAATTGGCGATCCGAGTTTCGAGCGATGTTTCTGGTGACCCGTACTGGCGCTTGGTCATCCAGTGTCAGTAGTTGAGTTTGATACTGCTCGAAGCGCCAAATCACAATGTTTATTGGTGCGCGACAACCGCGATGTTGGGCGAGTTCGCCAAGCGACGCTCATTCTCAGCATCTCCCGGTGTAACTGTGTTCGCCTCCCTAAACGTGCTTTTGCATCACTACCATCCGACGAGGTTTGGTACCCGATTGGAAACAAGTTGGCGAGGTTCGTTTGCGCTTGCGACCTCGACTCGACCTGTCTGTCACCACCATTCCCACTCACACGCCAACCGTGTCAGAAACACACAAGCCGCAACAACGCGATTGGATCAGACAATCCTGTCAGACTGCCCAACACTATTCACCATGTTGACAGAATATCAAAAGCACGCAATTCGTTGACGACGTATGGAGCAGGCATTATAGCACAAAGTTGACCAATAAGACGCCGTGTAAGAAACGAAGGTGCAATGCCATGGGTGTGCGTCGTTGTTTCAAGAACTACAGTGCCTTCTTCGACTTTCCGACCAACTGGCTTGGCCACTGAATTTCGACCCTAACCTAGAGCAGGATCTTGCTCTTCGTATGAGTTTGCTATCTCGAGGAATGGCGGATGAGGACATACCCAAGTTATCGCGATGTTGTTTCCAGCAAATGAGCATGCCATCTCCGTTTGGAGGGGGGTGGCTTGAAATCAAGCCCTCAGATTACCGCACGTTGGGAAACGAGCAGTGGATTAGTGGAACGATTATTGAGTGGCTCTCATCGTGAGTCGTTAGCAAGAAATAGAAAACGGAAATGTTAAATCTTGCTTTTAGTTACTTACCGGCTACCGCGACTTACTATATTTCCATGTCGTACATGCAGGATGTTACAGTATGAGTGCGGACTCGACAATGCATCGTGGCTTTGCACATCACCTTATTTCTGGACCCTCGTAGCGCGGCCGGGGTCTAAGAGGGTCACTAGGCAGGCATATGGACTTGACATCTTATCGTTCAAGCACGTGCTTGTTCCGATTAACTTGGAGTAAGTGCTCGGCATTTTTAATCATGATTTGAATGTAAACTACCTTGCAACTAATGAACGTGTTTGTCTCGATTATGCAGTGCGCACTGGAGCCTTGCTGTCATCGAGATTAACCATGATCCGGGGTCCCTTATCCCGATCAAGTGTGTCCTGTGGCACGCGGACTCATATGCAACTCACGTCGACATTGATGGACCCTTGAGAAAGTGAGATTCATGCAGCTAATAGAACCCCTTGTCAAAACGTACCTTTCTCAACACACCTTTATTAAGGAGCTATTTTTACGAGCAATCCG